CCAAGCTACCAGCATGAGTTTGACCAAACTGCAGGAGGCAGTGGAAGACAGGAGTGCCTGGCGTGCTCTGGTCCATGGGGTCACGAAGAGTCGGACACGACTAAATGACTAAACAATAACAACAACACCTGTAGTCCAGTATGCTGTTCTCACAGTGACCAACCAGATGCCTGTAGGAAGCCAGTAAGCAGGACTGGAGCACTCCGTCCACCTGTGATTCCCAGAATTCAGAGGCATATAGTGGAACATAGCTATCATGATGAATAGCCGTTGATAGCCTCATCCTCCAGGAATGGTCTAATCCTCATTTAAAGCCATCCCAATATAAATACTGCCTTTTTCAGTGGTCAGGGATGATGGACACTGTAGTCCAAAATATCTGTAGGGCAGCAAGTTCAGGAAGCCCACTCTAACCCAACATCAGTGGAAGCAGCGTGCATGTTCAGATGTAAAAGTTCAGTATATTACCTTCAGGAGACACCTGAAGGCGACCCTGTATAGGGAAGCTTTTTTAAAGTTTACGATTTTACTATGTATATGCTGGAAGCCACCCAGAGTGGCTGGGGCAACCCAGTCAGATGGGCGGGGTACAAACAAACAGGCTGGTGTAAGTCAGTCATCAAATATTGAGATGTGGAGTAATAATTGCCGCCTTGCATCAGTGACTGGAGGGGCAGGTTTTGGGCTTCTGAATCTCTGAATCAATATGAGTGGCATCTGGCAACCCAGACAGATGGGTGGGGTACAAATAATAAATTATTATTATTATTATTATTATTATTATTATTATTATTTTCCTCCTCCTCCTCCTCCTCCTCCTCCTCCTCCTCCTCTTCTGTCTACATATCTGCTAAGGAAGCCAGCACAGGTGAGTAGTCCTAATTTTTGAACTTTCACAGCACAGCCAAATGAATCCATCTCTCTGGGATATTTCCCCGTGCTTAAAAGTAATGGGCTCCTCTTAGAAGTATACAAAGATATATTTGATTAAGGTGACCCACTGTGCAAAGTCAGCCAAGCCAATTGCTATGGCATGTCAGCTGGTTGGTCAGTCAGTGAGTCTGTCCATGAGTCCGAGACTGTGTTACATCTTGAATTGCTGGAGCAATAGAAGTACTGTGTTTGTATATATCTGTATCTGTATCCGCAAAGCCTACAAGTTGTATGTATATATAAACGTCCAGAACTGTGTTACTGAAGCCTAATCTTCTACAGCAGTCAACTATTTTGGACCTTTACAAAAAGTCATAGGCTACAGTGCACAATCTGGAGTGGGAGAAGCTGCCCATGAGCCATAGCTTCAGTGTGTTTTGCTTACAATTTGAGTGGCTGGGGCAGGGGGAAGGCAGCAGCAGCTGTTGCAATGCATGGTTTCACTTCAGATCATTACACTTCTTCACCTATGGCTTTGTCCCCCAGCAGAAAGCCATATCTTCAGAGAGCTATTCTTCCAATTAGCCTAGCTCAGTCTTGGGGCAATTTACTTTTCTAGTTCCAATGGCAAACCACGTCATTTTGAGCAAAGGCAAATGCCGTCCTCAGAGAAGGCATTGTTCCGTGATATTCCTTCCCCTGCTCCCTCCATCCAAAGGTTTGTGCTTCCACAAAGAGACAAAGGCAAACTGGTGTTTGTGTTGCTAAAAGCTTTCTCTCCCAGAGACATGCCTTGAACGTGATTTGAAGATCAGGGCAACATAATAAATGTTTTGACTCGAACATCTTCTTACAATGAGGCTGTGTGCCAGCTCCCATTATCAAGCCCTGGAACATGTCAGTGGGAAACAACAGACACTAAAAAACCCTACATAATCAGGCAGGTTCGGAACAATAACTTGCAAGATCTTAGCTAAGGGAGCAATTATTTTGGCCCCGAATGCACACTTTAAAGCAGCCCAAGTGGAGCAGCTAAAGGAGGAAATGGAAGAGGAATCTATGGCGTACCATGGTGAGGGATTAGGCTGGGACGGAGCACAGTCTGCTAAAACTAAGGCTGGCACCTGGTTCCGTATATATTGTGGTGAATTAATTTAGGGATTAAATCTGCATAAATTTGCACACCTCCCGTAGCTTTGATGAAAAAGATGCTTAGCTGCTCTGAATTACCCCTCACTGATTTCAGTGGTGCCCATTTATTCAGGGATACATTTTGTTGTTCAACGATTTCCCATATATAACTTGGTTTAGTTCGTCCAGCGATGGGAACCCCCTAGCCTTCCAGGTGTTGCCGGAATCCATCAGCTGCACCAGCACGGTCAGCAATGATCTGAGTTGCTGTTCAACAACATCTGGTGAAAAGCACTGTTTCCCCATTCCTGGATTAGTTGATTAAACACTGCAGCCCGGGTTAAACCAGTTTTAATACCAGCCATGATAGCTGTGCACCTTCTCCAATAGTGGAGGCAGCATGCCTCTAATGGGAATGCTTATTGCACTCAGGTCCTGCTTGTGTGCTTCATATAGGCATTTGGTTGACTGTTGCACAAACAGAATACTGGGCCAGATCAGCTTTGGTCTGATGCAGTGAAGTCTTCATAAGAGAAATGATGATAATATATTAAAAGGCTGCAAGGCTGCTTGTGAGAGCATTCACTTGTCCCTTTTATTTACCTGAAAGCATGCATGCACCATCCAGTAAAAGGTAAAGGTAAAGGACCCCTGGATGGTTAAGTCCAATCAAAGGTGACTATGAGGGGCTACCTTTGAAGGTGACTCGGAAACTACTACTAATCCAGAATGCGGCAGCTAGACTGGTGACTGGGAGTGGCCGCTGGGATCACATAACACCGGTCCTGAGAGATCTGCATTGGCTCCCAGTACGTTTCTGAGCACAATTCAAAGTGTTGGTGCTGACCTTTAAAGCCCTAAACGGACTCGGCCCTGTATACCTGAAGGAGCGTCTCCACCCCTATCGTTCAGCCCAGACACTGAGATCCAGCGCCGAGGGCCTTCTGGCAGTTCCCTCATTGCAAGAAGTGAGGTTACAGGGAACCAGACAGAGGGCCTTCTTGGTAGTGGCGCCCACCCTGTGGAACGCCCTCCCTTCAGATGTGAAGGAAATAAGCAGCTATCTTCTCTTTAAAAGACATCTGAAGACAGCCCTGTTTAGGGAAGTTATTAATATTTAATGCTGTATTATTTTTAACACTTGATTGGAAGCTGCCCAGAGTGGCTGGGGAAACTCAGCCAGATGGGCGGGGTATAAATAATAAATGATGATGATGATGATGATGATGATGATGATGATGTGCAGAGCTCATCTCTCAGGCTGATGGAGTCAGCTTTTGTCCACAGACAGCTTTCTGGGTCATGACTAAACCACTTCTGGCGTGATGAAACACCATGACAGAAACCAGAGCGCACAGAAATGCCGTTTACCTTCCCTCCACCTATTTATCTACTTCCACTGGCGTGCTTTCAACCTGCTAGGTTGGCAGGAGCTGGGACAGAGCAACGGAAGCTCACTCCATCGCAGGGATTCGAACCACTGACCTTCTGATTGGCAAGCTCAAGAGGCTCAGTGGTTTAGACCACAGCTCCACCCTCTTCCCTACCATCCAGTACAGCATGCTGGAAGGGAAGAGTGCCTTAAAAGTTAGTATGAAATCTAACTCTTTCTCTGATGCCAGCCAGCTCTAAAAGTGGGGAAGGATTGAAACCTCCAACTCACATCAACTCTGAGCCTTTCGAACCGGTTAGCATCCCTGCATGTTAGAATGCCTCTGTCCACCCATATCAGTCTGGCTGGATAGGGAGACCCTGTGTGTGATATTGCAGTTCTTTCAATGTAATCATCTGGACCTATGTGTGTTCGTCCACATGGGTCTCTTGAGTCCTGTAAAACAAATTTGCTTCCTGCTTCATTTGATTATTCTTTTGCCCACCCTCCCATGGAAATTTCAGCAGCAGAATTGTTTGCTGTAATTATGAGGAGGTGGGGGAGAGAGTTGAGAGATATAATCCTGTGGAATGGGGTGTGTGTGTAGGGTGGATAGATGCAGCTTCTTGCTCAGAAGCAGCAAGCAAGTATGCGCAGTTGCGGCATCTTACTTCTATAATCTCCGATTTCTGCTTCATTGACACTTACCTGTGCCTCGTAGCTAGCAACAAAATCCCCAAATACATCTTCATTTAGTACAGTAGGTTGCATGCCATGCATTTATCACATTGGTGATATACTGTTACACGCTACTCCTATCTCCACCACAGTGTGAGATTTCAGGCGTGAATACCCAGGGTCCATGTTACGATTGGAAAGGAGGCACAGTGGAGACTGTGGTGCTTTTATGATATATAGTTTTATTTATACATATATACAACCTTAGTCTATATGGAGAGAGGGCAGAGCGGAAGCCTTGCGGAAGCCTCAGATTCCTGGAGCCCCCAAACATCATGTCTGACCTTCTCTGCAGCATAAAACAGACTTTGTTCACCCCATCCTCCAGCCTGCAAAAGGGACACTTATTCCTGCTCACTTACCTCATCGCCCACTGCAATTCTGACATCTTCCCCCTCAGAACTCTGGTATTTTATTTTATTTTTTGCTAATTGGCTAAAGCTCAGAACAGGGTTTCTCCCGTCTGTGTCCGACAGAGAGTCTTTTGCCTTGTCAATGGTTTTCATTGATGGGTTAGTGACCAGCCATCATGTTCTTTCATCCGCACCTTGTGAGCTCTGCCAACCTCGCCTGGGTCTTTAGCATCAGCTGAGCTCAGGGATTTCTGTGTTTCGCCCGCTTTAGTCAAACCTTGATTACTCCTAACTCTCACTGAATCCAGGCATTATGGGTAACTTGCACCCACATACTCTGGCACCCAGAACCGATATAAATATGTATGCACATATAAACTGTGTGGGTTGCAGAGATACCTTGCACACCAGTGGCCTGGGAGGTGGCTTCAGACACAGAGAAGTGGCTTTTCAGCACGAGCCACGTGACTGCGGGAGTCAGAAATCAGTGGTGCCAGTTGTTTTTGAAATATGGATGTCTCAGCTTTGAAAGGGCTGTAGCTCAATGGCAGAGCACCTGCTTTGCATGCAGAAGGTCTCATGTTCAACCCCCAGCATCTCCAGGTAGGGCTGGGAAGGACTCTCTGTCTGAAATCCTGAAGAGCTGCTGCTAGTCGGTTTAGACCAGTGGTTCCCAACCTTTTTTTGGCCATGCCCCACCTAAGCATCTCTAAAATCCTGATGCCTGCCCCCCAAGTGACATATAATTCTTATTATTCAAAAAGTGAACTCCTATTCATGTGGAGAAAGGCCATTGATGTGGTCTAAACAAGCTTACAAATTGCCCCCCTTAAAAATAAAATTGCCCCCCTGTGGGGCGTGTGCCCCATGTTGGGAACCACGGGATTAGACAATGCATGCACCAGTGGTCTGACTTGGCATATGTTCTGTGCTGGGCCCTGGGGGTAACCCGAGAACCGCAGTCCAGGTCCAGTCCAGAATCCGTAGGTTCCAATAGGAGTCAGTCCGACAGGGTCAAGGCAGGACATGAGGCAGGAAACTAGACCGGTCCTGATCCCCCGGTGACTCACCTCCCTGTCTCGCCCGAAGACGAGCACTCCTCCTACGAGTACTCAGGTCTCTCCATCTCTCAGACCTTAGTCTCTGCAGCTTGGGAGACGTTGGTGGGTTACTAGACCCAGGGGCTGCCTCAGCCTCTCCTGACCCAACCGGTAGCGGAGCAGCTGTAAGTGATTGCTCAGCTGGAGGCAACGAGGCAATCCCCGCATCTGGAGCCAGGGCAGGCTCAGGTCCCTGGCTCAGCCCAGCTGGTGTTTGTTGCAGGGGAACCTGTGCAGACTGGGACTCTTCAGGATCAGGCCCCAGACTTGGTTCAGATGATGCCTGAGGCAAAGGATCCGGTGCAGACTGAGTCTCCTCTGGTTCCGAGTCTGAGCCTGAGTCCCTGGCCATCACATGTTCATTGCAATATATCAAACAATTCATTACTGTTATTATTATTTATTAAATTGGTATAGCACCCTTCCCCTGAAGATTTCAGACTACATAGAGACTAGGACTCTTCTTTCTTGGAGGTTTTTAAGCAGAGCTTGGACGGCCACCTGTTATGGAGGCTTTTGTTAAGATTCCTGCATTGCAGGGAGCTGGACCAGATGACACTCAGGGTACCTTCCAATCACATAATTCTATGATAGCCACCTTCAAATATCTCAAGGGCTGTCGCATGGAAGATGGAGCTTCTCTTCTCTTCTGCTGCTCTAGAGGGTAGGACTTGAACTAATGGCTTCAAGTTACAGGACAGGAGATGCGGACTTAACATCAGGAAGAACTTTCTGATGGTAAGAGCAGTTTGACGGTGGAAAGGACTCCCTCAGGAGGTGACGGCCTCTCTTTCATTGGAGAAGAAGAAGAAGAAGAGTTTGGATTTGATATCCCGCCTTTCACTCCCCTTAAGGAGTCTCAAAGCAGCTAACATTCTCCTTTCCCTTCCTCCCCCACAACAAACACTCTGTGAGGTGAGTGGGGCTGAGAGACTTCAAAGAAGTGTGACTGGCCCAAGGTCACCCAGCAGCTGCATGTGGAGGAGCGGAGACGCGAACCCGGTTCCCCAGATTACGAAACTACCACTCTTAACCACTACACCACACTGGCTCTCTGGAGTTTTTAAGCAGAGGTTGGATGGCCACCTGTCATGGATGCTTTAGTTGAGATCCTTGCACGGCATGGGGTTCGACTAGAAGACCCTTGGGGACCCTTCCAGCTCTATGATTCTATGATTCCTTTGAGCTAGATGGTCGAGTGGTCCGGCTGAATACATGGCAGCTTCTTAAGTTCCTAGGTTGCTATGAAATATCAGTCCCTTTGAGCCATGAACATAGGAACCTTCCTTATAGAGAGTCGGATTTCTATTTGTTGACTATCTCCCTTTCTCCAGCATCCTGGGAGAGATCTTTCCCAGCCCTGCAGCCTGTGATTAATTAGGGGTTACAAGCACCATCCCTCTGGGACTTTTAAGCCTGCAAAGCACACACTCTACCACTGAGTTAGGGACCATTTCGCTCATTTCCATGCATTTATTCAAGGCTGAGGAATTTTCAAGTCTCCAAGTGTTCGCTCTTGAGCTCTGAACATTTTTTGGAAGCCAACCAATTAAAAAAAATAAAAAAAGCACCAGGTTTCAGACTGGTTTCAAACTGGCCAAGCAGCAACCCTTGGGTTTAATTATAGAGGCCCTTGGCTCCTTGCCTGTTTTCCTCACTGCTTTGGCTCCAGGTTCGCCCTGTTACTGATTCCATGCAAGTCAATGGCTCCAATGGGTTTTAAATTCCAGCCATGCATGAGATGTGAAATGGTTGCTCTGGGTTTTGGATCCATGCGGAGTGCTGTCTGTGTTGCTATGAAACACCCTGTGGGGAAGATAAAATGATGCAGACAACTATTGATGCTGGAAACCGAGGAGAGTAATTAATGGAGGACCTGCTGCTGTTTCTATTTTTAGACCACAGAGCTGTTGTGAGCGTTAAGCTAGGCTTTACTTGCGACAAGCGCACACACACACATCCCGTCATCTTAGTTGCTAATTTACATCTGCTGTAGGTACAAATCAGAGGTGTGCGGTCAGCAGTCTAGGGGGACTAGGCTATTCCCCTAAATGTTCCCTGGCACCTCTTTCCCAAAGCCCAGGAAGATTTTGCCCGGCTTAGGGAGGGACGTGCGATGCTCCGATGCGGGGGTCAGCAAACTTTTTCAGCAGGGGGCTGGTCCACTGTCCCTCAGACCATGTGGGGACCATGTATTTTGGAAAAAAATATGAACCAATTCCTATGCCCCACAAATAACCCATTTTAAATAAAAGCACACATTCCACTCATGTTAAAACACCAGGCAGGCCCCACAAATAACCCAGAAATGCATTTTAAATAAAAGGACTCATGTAAAAACACACTGATTCCTGGACTGTCCGCAGGCTGGATTTAGAAGGTGATTGGGCCGGATATATAAGAATGAAAAAGAAAAAGAAAATACAAAATAAAAATGATTAAAAACCACTCAGTTTTTCCATTGCTTATTTTTCCTTAGCTTGTTTCCCGGACCTCCTCATACCTCCCTTTTTTGTATTCCAGTTCAATTTGTTGGTTCAGCAAATCCTTACCCTCTTTATTTATCCTAATCTTTGGTCTTAAAATAGTGACGTTAGATTTTTACCTATTAACAACCCATTTTTCATATTCCCTTAAAGCATTACAGCTGGAAACCACTTAATTTCTATCCAACATCATTCTAACATTCATTAAGTTTACAATATTTCTGTAGATAGTCTTTAAATTTCTTCCAATCTTCTTCCACCGACTCTTCTCCCTGGTCTCGGATTCTGCCAGTCATTTCTGCCAGTTCCATATAGTCCATCAACTTCATCTGCCATTCTTCCAAAGCGGGTAAATCTTGTGTCTTCCAATACTTTGCAATGAGTATTCTTGCTGCTGTTGTGGCATACATAAAAAAAGTTCTATCCTTCTTTGGCACCAATTGGCCGACTATGCCTAGGAGAAGTGCATTGTTTTAAGGGCGCTTTGTTTATGAAAATGTGTACATTTGTAAAAACCGCATACAAAAATGCATCTTCGGAGAAAATCACACTAAGAACATGGATGGTTTTAATTGCATACCGCTTAGGAAATGTGGAGGAAACGAGAAATGGAGAGAACCAAAATTGACAGGTTTTTCCATTCCCACTGGAGGGTGATGCCGATAGTAGCGAAGGATGTTACCAGGCTTGTAAACTGCCTTGGCATTTTTTAATGATGGGACTTTTAAAAAAATATATGTTTTGAATAAAAATAAATAAATAAACGGAACACCTGAAAGCTGAATTCAGTTTAGCTCAAAGTTCGAGTCCATAGAAGCTGTGAATGCATCCTTGCTGTTGTTAATTTATCAATTTGTTCCTTTATAAAGCACCTAAGGCAGGCATCCCCAGCCTTCGGCCCTCCAGATGTTTTGGACTACAATTCCCATCATCCCTGACCACTGGTCCTGTTAGCTGGGGATCATGGGAGTTGTAGGTCAAAACATCTGGAGGGCTGCAGGTTGGGGATGCCTGACCTAAGGTATTCTAGGGAATGTAGGAAAAGAATGAAGAACAACTTAGTCCCTGGCTGTGGAGTTGCAAGCTGAAATCAAACTAGACATGGTGTAAATAGCCTTCCAACGACACTGGAGTGAGTCACAGTAGGGCCGGCCCACCAGCCCTCCCCATTTGACCCAATGGATGGTTTAGGCAAGCCATTCCCACTTGTTCTAATCTTGGTTGAAATTGAAATACTTTATTGTCACTTGTACAACTTGTATACAGTGAGATTACACGAGCACCCCCCCACTCAGCTCTCTTAGTCTTAATTCCCCTCGTTTACTGACACACACCCACCAAACCCGAAAGTCAGTTGCCCTGTTGTTATCTTTTCATTCAGCAGCCTAACAGCCCACAGATAGAAGCTATACTTTACCCTGTTGGTACGACTAATCATGCTTCTATATCTTCTGCCCGAGGGCAGGAGATCAAGAAAGTGCCAGCCAGCGTGTGAATCATCCCTGAGAATTTTCCTCACTCTCCTGAGGCAACGTTCTTCCGCGATGTCATCCAGCGGATTCACGGGACAGCCCATAATATCTTGTGCTGTATTCACCACCCTCTGTAGGCACTTCCTATCAGTAGATGCCAAACCAGCGTACCACACTGTGCTGCAGTATGAAAGGACACTTTCTATGGTGGACCGTATATATGACATTGGATGTGGGGCAGGTAAAGGGGTTGGCTGAAAGGGGTTTTGCAGGTCCAGAGTGCCGTGCCCTAACCCTTGCTTGGTGCTTGGGATGTGTCGAGCTCAGGGTCTGCAAAGCTCATTGCTCAGAGCTCAGCAGCTAGCTGATTGGGCAGTTCCCAAGCACCTGACAACTAGCTGGCTGATGGGGTTGGGAAAGTACCGTACAAGGGACTTTGACAGGTGTCAGTCACCTGTGATTATCATGACATTTTGACATGTGGGTTGTCCAACTCACCATTCAAATGTGGCCAATGGTGGTGGGTGAGCGGAGATAAGGATCT